AAGTGAGTCTGAAGAGCTCATCCCAGTCGGCCATTTGTTCCGAGGTTGGAGCCCTTAGCATGATGTGTCTTGATGCAGAAGGAGTCCTTGCCAGGGTCACGTGGTACCCCAGCAGCTAAAAGCCAGGAGGGCTGGGTGTGGCCGTCCTACAGACTTGCTGTGTGACCTGGGCCAGGAACTCTACATCTCTGGACCATCACTCCTTACCAGTGAACTCAGAGAGGCTGGACTAAGTCTCAGCTGGGTTTAAAAGTCTCTACACCGGATTTGGATTCAGTAGTTATTCATCTTAATTTGCCCTCTGTACACTGAGAGAGGAGAAACTGAGGGTCAGAGAGATGAAGTGACCTTGCCGAAGGTCATGCACCCAGTCAAGGGCAGAACTGAGACTAGAACCCGGCTCTGCCTGAGCCCATGTCCAGTATTCTGGTACACCTGGGCCCAGTGGACTGGGTCTGCAGATTCCCTTGTCCTCTGGCTTCGGGTTGGGTTTGGCCAATGGAAAGCCCCTGTAGGAACTGGACCAAAAGAGAATGTGACCAACGTGTGCTTACCTCCTCAGCTCTTCACATCCCCCTCCTTGAGTGTCTCATCTGTTTCCTGCTGGGACCCTGACAGAGTTGATGAAATCTGCAACCTCTGCGATCGCTTCCTCTCCTTGCTGTAACTTCTTCCCATCAGCCCAGGAAGCCCCCTCCAAAAGAACATCAACATGGGAACGCTGGGGTATTCTTGACATTTCCCCTTGTCCACAGTCTCTGCCCCAGAGCTGCTTGAATGCAAAGAACTCTGTTCTGGATCTCCACTCACTTCCTTCCCTTTCATTTCCTGGTCATCCCACCCCTGGAAACCCCACTGTCTCTGCTACCAAATTCTAAACAGCCTCATTTGGAAGAAAGGGCTAATTTAACCAAGGTTTCTCTTTCATTGTTTCATTTGCAAGCAGTGCCTCCCCTCCCCCTCTTCCCCTTTTATCTTCTTTGTCCTCCTGGCCTGGGCCTTTCTCCTCCGCTCCAGCCTCCCAGAGCTCCGGGTTCCTTAAGATGCTAATCACACCCAGTTTTCTTCTTGTGCCAAGAATATTTCTATTTATCAAGCCTTGACAGACTTTGCCTTTGGGAGCGACGCATACAAGGACAGGAACACTTTCCATTCCTGGGGGGCCGTGTCTCTTTTCCCTTTCTCATTCCAATTCTAGGAGTCTTTCTTTGCTCGGTTCCTCGGTATGTCTTCCACGGTTTTTGAATGCACAGGTTGCCTGGTCCTGTCTCCTTTTTAGGGAGTGCAGACCCACCCGGGCCGCAGTGGCCCGTAGACTTACTGACCCTTCTGTGAGAAAGGAGATTCAGGTTTGTTCGAGGCCGTCAGGGTGGTAACATTAGGTGTTTGAATTCCCTCTGCCTCCTTTGGGTTTCCCAAGAAGGAGATACGAGAGGAGGATCCTGGTGCGTGTAGTTTATGCAGGAACAGGGGCACCAGCAGGAAGGGGGGCAGGGAGGCGGCCGAAAGAAGCCGGCCCCAAGGGGCAGTTTTCAAGCCCGTTCCTGCGGTGGGAAACGGCAGCCCAGGCCCTGAGAGAACTCTGGAAAAGGTGAAGAACACACCCTCAGTGGGATGGGAAGGAGCGGGGCTATTTCATCGGCTAGGGAAAGACTGCCTTTTGCACAGATTATCTTGCCCCAGCTTGGGAGCAGGTCCTCAGGTGAAGAGATGCAGACAGGGCAGCATGAAGGGGAAGCAAGTGAGGTGTCCAGGGCCCACACCTCAGTGAGGCGCTCGCTCTCAGGGTCATGCAGCCGAGCACGGCATCTCCTTGAATGCTGCACACTGGGTGCCTCGCTCGCTCACCATAGTCCTGGCCCAGGACGCCAGACTGCCCGCTGGTCCCAAACACCAGGTGGTGAGGCTGTGGGGTGTGGGTGGGATGCATGCTGACAGCATCCTCTGCACCCCCAGTGACGGAGTTCAATCCTTGTCATTGCTTTCCTTGCTACTTGGAATCCTGCCTTCCAAGACGCAGCTCTCACACGGGACAGGATGGTTCTCTTCCAGCCCTTTCCTGTGTCCTGTCTCTCTGCCCCTACTCAGGCTCAGTAGCTTCTTCCTACTGGCAAATCATTGTGCCCCCTGTCATCCTGCTCCAGCTTACCTCCCTCCATGCTTCCTGAATATTCTCTCCTTTATTTGAGAAGCCTGAAGGGAGAGGTCCATGGCTGAAGCCCTTTGGGGTCTTGCAGAGAGTCTGCTTTCCAACATTAAGTTCCTATTTACTGAGCCCCAACCATATGCCAGGTTTGGGGACACAGAAGTACAGTCATCTTCCTGCTGTCACAGAGTGTCTATTCCAGTGAGGAAAACAGGCAGTCAACAAAGAGTCATCCAAATGCCTCTCAAATCACAACGATGACGAGGGTTAAGGAGAAGAGAGGCATTGTGCCCAAGGAGTGAATAATGGGGTTTTGATCAAATTCGAAGGGTCAGAGGAATTCCCTGAAGAAGTGATGACCGAGAAGGATCTGAAGAATAAGTAGAACTTAGTAGAGCAAAGTGAGGCGGGAAGGGCACTTTGATAGAGTACACGGTGTGTGCAAAGGCCCCGTGGCATGAGTGAGCACAGAAAGCTCAAGGGACTGAATGAAGATCAGTGTGGCTTAATTGAGGAAACTGGGACGGAGAGAACATGATATGAAATGGGAGTGGAGAGGTGGCTGAGGGCTTTTGGATAAGGAGTGCTTAGAAATGCAGAAAAGCCATTTGAAGGGCTTTCAACGGGAAAATGACACGATCCAATTCCCATTTTGAGGATGTCCCTCTGGCTTCCGTCAGATCAGACAGGTGGAAGTTGGGGGTCAGATTAGATGTACAGCAGTGGGAAGAAGGCTGGGCCGAGTCCAGGTGAGAGCTAACAATGGCTCGGGCAAAGGTGCTGGGTGCCAAGGATGAGCAGGGAAGTCTGGAAGACAGACAGCTTGGTGTGGCTTTTCATCCTTAGCCCCCACAGGCTTTTGCGTGGATACCTGGCCCAGGCTGGATATCCTTGTCTCTCAGGGAGGCAAAGGCTCTTCAGTGTGCTCTAGTCATTTATCTTTTCTTATCTGCGCAACGCCCCGGGAGGAAGACATCATTGTACCCAATTTACAGAGAGACGATTAAGGTTTGGTGTGATCGCCTAAGGTCTCGCAGCCTATAATTTAGTGGCCCCTCTCTAAACTCACAATCTGAAAGGGGGAACAGACAAGTGGCCAGATATCGTAGGGAATGGTATGCACAGTGCTTGAGCAGAGGACGGTCCGAGTGAGCAGCTACCTGTGCCCAGCACAGCAGCTCCGTGGGAGCAGAGACTGAGGGTCCCGCACAGGGCCTGGCTCAATGGAGGCCCACGAGTTATGGGTCTTAATAACACACTTCCTGATGGTTCGAGCATCTCTTTCCAACGCTTCACTTGCAAGAAATCTTGCTGCCTGCATTACTATCTTCCAAGAGACAAATTATAAATGTTTTCTGATTAGTTCTACCATTCATAGCCCATTCCTAAATCAGCACAGGAAACAGCTAAGCTAAAACTTCTGCCTCTTTCTTCCTTTGCAAGCTGCCTGTATCTTATGTTTTCTTCCTCCAAGTTTTTTTCTTAGGCAACGTCTAGACAGTTAAACAAAACAAAACACTGAACTGTGCTAGAAAAAATTTGTTATTCAAGGTCTTTTTTTCCCTCTGTTTTTGGCTAGATGGGGTAATCCTGAGAGCTAAGATGAGAAATGCAATGCACACAATTGGTGAGATGTCAAAAAGTCCAGGCTGAGTACACCACGGCAGACAAAAGCTATTGTCAACTCTGTTCTAATCAGACCATGCGCTCAACATTTTGTATGGGGTAACTTTGTCCTCTCTGTATTTATGCTGTTTTGAAGGTTGTACATACCAATATTTGGCAGTGATGATACCGTGTGACCTACGCCTCTCTCCCTGCCTCACTGTCTAGCACTGAATATTATGCACAGTCACACACAAATGTTGGCCCTGTCCTTGTTCAGGCCTCATTGCCCCTCGCTGGGACCACTGCAGTAGCCTCCTGACCAGTCCCTCTGCCTCCAGTCTCTCCCACTCTAATCCACCCTTCCAATCAGTGACCCTAGTGATCTTTCAAAACTGGACATCTGATCATGCCCAGCCCCCCACCAACCCAGTTTATCCCATGTCCCCAGATGGGTATTCAGTGATTTCTGGTTAAAAGAAGGTGGAATTGGGGTGCCTGAGTGGCTCATTCATTAAGCGTCTGCCTTCGGCTCGGGTCATGATCCCAGGGTCCTGGGATCGAGCCCCGCATCGGGCTCCCTGCTCGGCGGGAAGCCTGCTTCTCCCTCTCCCACTCCCCCTGCTTGTGTTCCCTCTCTCGCTTGTCTAGCAAATAAATAAATAAAATCTTTAAAAAAATAAATAAATGTGGAATTATTTGTCTGTACTGATCTTCAGTGACCACGAGAAACTAACTCTAAGGCTAGAGTAATGGTGCCAAGCACTGGGCAAAGGTTCATGTACCTTTTTAAAAAGACCCTGTCTTTGTTGTTTGTATCATTTCCAAGGGGAAAAAAACTGAAGCTTAGAGAGGTCAGGTAACTTGCCCAGGGCCCCACAGCCGGGATAGAAGCCCAGGCAGTCTGACTCCACAGGGCTCTAACCGCTCCGCATCACTGCCTTCATCAAACCACGTATCAGGGGTGATTACAGGAATGTTAAAGCTCGTCGAGCAAAAGGCAATGACCTTGCATGCCTCCCCAGTCTCTGCACAAAACATGTTTTCCTCCTGCAGGCTCGGGGCCACCAAGTGTCTTGGCCAACGCATGGCCTGCGTGGCAGACACTCACCTTACAACACCTGCCCCCCTAGCAGTGGGGGCCAGCAGAAGTCATGATGCCTTAAACCCTGCCCCTTGTGTGACCAGAGTAGCCTTGGGCTCCTCTGGGCCCTGAGCTGGCTGCTCCCCAAACCCTCAGGGCTCTTACAGGATATGATGTTTCCGTATCGATTCTTATTGCGGTTTTCATCCTCTTTGGCTGTGTCCCACGAAGCTGTCTGCCCCTCTGGTAAGGCCTAAAAGAGGAAGAATAGAGTGGTTAGAATGGCCTGAGATAGGGGCTTTCTCCATGTGTAGATGAGTCGGGGGGTTAGGGGGGGATCAGATCCACTGGGATGGGTCACTCGGTATAAAGGTCTCTGTGTTCTTGGATGTGGCCTGGGGAGAATGTAGACTTGGCCCCTTTATGGACTTATCCACTCGTTCATTGACTCAAATGTCATGGATGCCTTCTGGGTGTCAAGAGTCCAAATCTGGCCCAGTACAGGAGTCATTTGCTCATGAACTCATTCATTCATTCGACGGGTATTTATTGAGTCCCTAATATGTATTTGGCGCTGTTGTAGGTACTCAGGATACAGAGAAATAGGCAAAGTCCCCTTTGAGCTTCCAGTCAACTGGGCAACGCCGCAAGTAAAAGAGCAAACATATATAATTTCGTGGGGAAAGTGCTATCAAGAAGATTAATCAGGGGGAAGGGATAGTGATGGAGGATGAGAATTTCTTCAGATTTTACAGTCTGGGAGGGCTTCTTTGAGAAGGGAACAGTTAACCTAACTCCTTAATCATGTGAAAAAGCCAGTTGTGCCAAAAGCAGGACGTGCTTTCCAGGCAGAGGGAAGAGCAGGTGCAAAAGAGGTAACCAAATGACCGTATTCAAGGGTGAGGCAGGGAGAGCAGTGGCAGGAGCATCTGGATGGGCTGGGACAGTTCAGGCTCTATAAGGTATTGTGGTCACTGGTAACGAGTTGGGTATCATTCTAAGTGAGATGGAAAGCCTTTGGAGGGTTTTGAGCAGTGCAGTTAGCTGATCTGATTTAGGTTTTACATTCTGGCTCATGTATGCGATGCAGGCTCTTAGGAGGCCTGGGGAGGAAGGAGGGAGATCAGTTAGGAAGCTGTTGCAATGGTCCAGGTAAGAGATGAGGGCACCTTGGCCCCTTTACCAGGACGGTGTCAGTAGATGTAGCTAGAAGTGATTATTTTCAGGATGTTCAGTTGAATACTGTAGATTTTGGTTGCCTCAGAAGCAGACTTGGAAACAAGGATTTGAATACGAGATCTTCTTTGGAGGCAATCCTAAGGAGCATGGGTGGGAGAGTGGGGGAAATGATACAAACATGGGAAGGAAGTCAGTCCAAGTATCTCAGTGAACAAGTCAGCACCGTGTACACCTGGGGTTTAATCTCACAGGCCCACCACGTGTTGGGGTATTTACCCACCAATTCCCATCGACCATTGGTTGAGGACAATGCTTAGGAAATCCCTTGGCACTTCTGCCATGCTCTGCAGGTAAGCTGTGCATATTCTCTAAGAAAGTCCTTGGGCAACAAGCCACAGGTGCTTCTAGGCAGCGGGCATTGGGTGAGCTTGCATGGGAACATGAGTGTAGAGGGGACAGAGGCAGGCCAACACATCTGCTGTAGGTGTGGACTATGAGGGAAAGAGGGATGAAGGCTGGCTCCTAGACTGTTGGCTTGAAGAAGTGAGTGGAGAGCCATGGCATTTGCAGAGATGGAGAAGAAATACAAGGGGAGAAAGAGACCGGGGAGGCAGGAATTGTGTGTTGTGTTCTGGGCACATCGAGTGCTTAGAACAGCGCCTGGCCTTTGCTGAGTGCTGTGTGCTTCTTGCCATGTCCCACACAGTGAGAACAGTGTAGCAGGGGCCACGTTTGAGATGACTAGTCGACATCCAAGCTGAGATGCTGAGTAGGAAGTTGGACATAGAAGCTCACAGTCAGAGCTGGGGGAAGAATTGGGAGTCATCAACCCAAGAGGAGACAGACAAGTCCACAACCATGTGGAATGATTAACAGAGTTATGAGCCAAGAGCTATGGAAACACAGGGGAGGGTGAAGTTGCTTCTCTCACAGAGAATGAAGATGAGCATTCAGGGGAGCAGGAACAGCTGTAGGAAAGCTCCAGAAGCATGAAGACCTGGCCACATTTTGATTACTGTTTCCACCCTGCACCCTGTGGTGTGGGCCGAATGCCCTGCTTGTGGGCCCTGCACTGCTTCTGAGGCTGGACCTGCAATACCTTTAGTCTACACAGCTCCCTGTCTGCAGCTCAGGGGAAAGGAGCATCCACTCATCTTATTACACTGGCCTTGCCTTTTCCCAACCATCCCTTACGAGGTTCAGCCCCAATAAGCAGTCCGTAAGCCGAACGGTCAGAAATTCCATCAGTGGGCTGTGTTTCATAGGCAGGCAGGACCAGTGCCTGTGAAAAGCCCAAATCACGCACAGTACCCCCTTTCTTGCTTCCAGTCTCCCATGTGTTAAGCCAACCTGGGTGGGTCTTCTAGAGAAGAGGTAGGCAAACTTTCTGTAATGGGTCAGAGAATGGGCAGCATGGGCTTTGTAGGCCAAGTACTCCGTGCTGCAGCCACTCATACTCTGGCTGCAGAGCGAACGCAGTGACAGACAAAAGGTAAACAAATGGGCGTGGCTATGTTCTGATGAAACTTCATTTACGAAAACAGGTGCTGGGTTGGATTTAGCCTGTGGCTGCACTCTGCCGACCTTTTTTCTAGAAGCGTGACCATGATCCTCAACTCTGCAGTGGTTGGGTAGGTAGAACTAGTGCTCATTCTGCTACCTCGCCATTCTAGATGGAATGGAGATGGGGTGGGAGGCCCTTGCCTGGGCGGTCTGGCTAAGCTGTGTTCTCCAACCTCACTTTCCCCAGGGTTTCAGAAGCGGGGTACTAGATTGTCTTCCCAATCTCTGCCCTAAATCTGAGTGTGACAAAAATGACACGGAGAGAGGAAAGTGCTTACTTTACAAACGGAGGGCCTGTCTTTCCTTTTTCTCTTGTCATCTTCCCCCTCCTTCCTCATTACAAATGACCATCACCCTGCACCGCCCTTGCCCCTGGTGTAGGACAGCTCTTGATTGCAAACGGTTCTTGCTTTTTGCATGTAACTCTTAGAACTCAGATTCCAGCCCTAGGGCCTCATCCTCCTGGCCAGCCCGGTGGCACCAGCTGTTGCAGACAATTGCCAGGCCCACAGAGTCCCGGCTCCCCGCCATGGTGGGCTGTGACTGTCTCACCGGTAACACTGGACTTCTCAAGGTTTAAGCGGATATTCCGGGGGTGGATGTTCTACCTGAAACCCTCTGTGATAAAAGCCAACTGTTCATTCCATTATATCCACCCCAAAGTGATATGAAGCCAAGAATAGGACACTCCAAATATTTTCATAATCATTTTGGGGGAAAAAAATCTGTTGAGAAGCTACCATGGGCTAGGGTTTCAGTTATAATTCGCTGAAAGTTTTGTTATGGCTGTACATTTAAATCATCTGAGGGAAGCTTTAAAACTCCCAAAGCCACAGTCAGACTCTCTGGGGATGGGACGCAGGCCGTCAGCAGGGTTTAAACTCCCTGGGTGATTCTAATGCACAGCCATGGTTCTTGCAAATAGTGAATTTACCTGGAGAAACACTTTCCCACGAGTCTCCTCACTGGTTTCTCTTGCTTTGGTTTTGTCTCCTCCAATCCATTCTCAACTGTAATCAGAGAGATCTTTCTAAAATGTGAATAGGACCCAGTTACTTCCCTTGCCATTATCTTCAGGATAAATTCTAGTCTTTAATACAAGGTCCCTAATGAGTTCACCCTACATGCCCCTCCAGCCTCATTTCTTGCCCTTATATTAATATTCCAAAGATAAGGAACTAAACGCAAGGCCACAGACAGTTTCAGGTGTTTCAAACTTCTGAGACTGACTTTATATATGCTGTTCCCTCTGCCTGAAATTCTCTTTCACCCGAGTCTGCCTGGAAGACTCCTACATACCCTTTAAAACCCATTTCAAGCATCTTCTGTTTTGTGAAAACTTCCCTGCTTACCCTCCCACCACTCCATTTCATCCCCAGCTAGTCGGTCGCTTCTATTATTAGATGGACTCCTTTATATCTAATAATTTGAAAGTCTTGTCTCCCAACTTGATGATGGGCTACTCCAGGAAAAGGGCAGCATCTTACTCATTTCTGTCTCTCCAGAACCCAATACTGGCCTGTACTTCATATGTACCTGAATCCCCTTTAGAATAAATGAATGGATTGGACAGATGGTTGGAAACATTAGTGGGTAAGGTAGCTTCTGTGCAGTCTCTTTAATCCCAGAGGTGTAAGTGACCTTGAAAATTATCTGGTTGTGTTCCCTTCCACAGTGGCCTTCTGGGCAGTGGACAAGCTCATCCGTAGCATCTGCTACTTGGATACCCTCAGTGACAGAGAGCTCACTACCTCACAATGCTTCCCGTCTCACTTATGGACAGTTTGGACAGTATTTTGTTTCCTCTGCCTCTATGTACTTTGCCTTTGCCCTACGCTATGGGGGACCCACAGAATTAGCATGCACCCCTGTGCTGCAACACTGCAGAGATTTGATGAAGATTGCTGTCCACCCCCTGAGTCCTTAAATGGCACAATTTGGGAGCTGTCTCAACATCCAGACCATACCCTTCAGGAGGCACCCAGCATGCTGATAACCTTTGAAAAAATCTTAAGCTAAACAAAGCAGTTGTGATAAGTGGCCCTTCTTTGGGAAACCATATGGGCCCCTGATGCAGCCCTGGGAGCCTCTGTGTCCCTGAGTGGGGCTGGGGGGAGGAGGTGTGAGCCTGGGCTGGGATGCTGTTGACCAAGGTAGAGGGGGCAAGGCCTAACAGAGCCACCTAGGAGTGAGCAGTAATGACCCCCTAATTGGCAGACTTTGATCACATAGCCATTTCCCTTTTTAGGGAGCTGCAATGTAATAGGGGATAATCTCTTGAAGGAAAACAAAAAATACGAAGGGGTAAAAGTATGAAAGGGAGACTCATCTCCATCTTCAAAGTGAGGCAGCCGAGGGGCATTATTTTTACATTAGTGGCTAGTTACAGTAGATTGACCAGGGAATGGCGGCGGTCATTAGGAGCTAATCACATTCTTTTCAAACCAAAATTGCCATCTCATTATATTCATCTATTATCAATCTCCGCTTTCCTCTTCTCATTCTCTTCTC